AGGGTGACTGGGGGACTCCTGCAATTAACAGATAAAGTTTAGACACAGGTCGAAAACATGACTGTGCATACAAACCTCAAGAGTTCTGGCCAGGTTAAAAAGAATAAACATGACAAGAAAAATTAAAAAAAAAAACCAAACTTTAACGAAACACTCATTAGAGTCTACCAAATAAGGGATAGGCGATGAGCCTCCTTCCTTTGCTTTTCTTTTGCCAGCTGTACTTGATATAACGGAGGATTATATTTGAGAAAAATCCCCCATGGCTTGCAAGGCTCAGAGAACAACAGCTGGTAGAAGAGTTTAACCATTACTTTTTCAAGTCACTACAGGCCCCCTGGCCCTCCACTATGCTATTAATTGGGCTATCCTAGAGACCCCGCTGACCTCCGAGTCCACCTACAGTTTCTCCTGTGCCAGTCCAGTGATACTGTCTGGGTCAAGCTAGAAACCAAAGCGACACTGGAACTAACTTGAAAAGGACCCTAAAAGGTGATTCTCTCCACTCCTATGGCAGAGAGGAGAGCTAGCATTAGACCACAGATCGACCATAACAGGTCAAAAAAGCAGATGCCATATTTGCTGCCAGATGCATTTTCTATGCACTATGAACCTCTTAAAATTAGGTTTCCTTGATCCCTAAGTCCCTTCCACTTCTTTGTCTACCTCTTCCTGAATCTGATAAAACCCCGCTGTGCTTAGACCTGGACTTGGGAACTAAGAGAGACAGGTACAGGACAGATATTACCTAATGTAAGCACAGGACAGCAAGGCATACTCATTATTACCTCTGCCTACTGATGCCCAGTTTAAATGTCGGATTGTATTAAAGAGAGGAAAGATATGAGGGCTTATCTGTGGAGATAGAAATGCAGAGTTACAATTCTATGGATACATTGTGGCTGGGCCTCTGGTCCTCAGAATAAGGGAGTTTCCAATCCAAAGACTAGGTTTGTGAAACCAAGGTTTCCTGGAAAACTCACATTAAAAAGATTCTGGCCTAGAGAAAACAGGAAATCCCTGCAGAATCAGTCTATGCCACAAGAAGGGACTGTGCAGACGGTCTTAATCATGTCCACCCAGACACAGGCCAGGATTGCTGGTTGTGCTAGACACCAGGCCCAAATCATATACTTCATAAGGATAGGAATTAACCAGACTGTCAGCCAAATGGCTGACAAAACTAGTCGAGAGTGGGGACAGGGCAAAGTAATGTTCTTCATGCGCTAGGACATCAGGATAATGTATTACCAAGAACCTAGGGCTGATTGTTGAGCATGTACCAATGGTTTGACTGAATGTGCCTCTTCTGATGCTTTCTAAAGAAAGGTTGATCAGGACCTGATGGTAGCAAAAGTTTTCATTTCTGAATTAAATCAACAGTTAAATTCCATTATAAAAATTATTCTACAAAATTGAAAAGATTAGACTGACTTATCATGGCATAAAGGAAACTATGTATGGTTTGGAAAAAAAATCCTGTTGTACTTATGATAACTGATCAAAAAATAGTGCCATTGTTAGGGAAATGGTTGATACACACCAGTCTCCCTTCTCCTTGTCCCACAGGCTAACTATACTTGCTATCAGCACTGACAGGGCCTTTAATTCTCATGCGCACTAGATTAATAGTGGGGCCCTGCATCTTTAACTAAAATAGGATGAGACAATGACTGACTCATTAACTAACTCCAGTGTGAAATTTAACAGATCCCAGACCTCAGTAGACCCAGAATTTAGGTAACTGAGTCCGTGATGGAACTGCCATTCAGGCTGTAAAACATAGTGCAGACAGCATCACCTGCTAAACATAAAAACAAAGGTCAAATCTATCAAAGGCCATACTTGTTGGAAGTCTTGAAGATGTACTAACCTTGCTCTCTAGTCTGTAGTTCCACTTTGGCTATCTGTTCTTGATAACTGAAGTATGTCAACCCAGAACATGTTCTCTGGCTTAAAAGCACATTCTGAAAGTCTCAGGGATATACTGGGATCAAGAACAACCTGTATAGTTCAGCCCAGATAATAAGGACTCTCTATTGGCTTAAACACATGCCCCAACAGTCTTCTCTGGTGAATACCCCAAAACAAGCACATCACAGAACTTTCTCCAAAACTAAACACTTACTGAGACACAAAGCAAGTCTCAAGAGATATAAGAAAACAGAAATAGCCCCATGCATCCTACCAGACCCCCACATATATCAATAACATTGTAAGCATCAGAATGCTTTCAAACTCATGGAACCTGAACACCTCTCTAATAAAGTGAATAATGAGTCAAGGTAAAAATAGAGAAGTGAAAGACTTTCTAGAAAGATCCATGCCAAAGACTGAATGTTTTCTCAAAAAAATCAGTTCAACTGGCTGCTCAACCAGAGGTCTTGAGTTCCATTCCCAGCAATCACTCTAGTGAGATCTGATGCCTCAACGGAAATAAAGGCATACAAGCAGATAGAGCACTAATATATATAAATAACTAATCTTAAAAAAATTATTTCTAAAACTATGACACCCATAAGATTCATCCTTTACTCTTTCATTTAGCTTTACTTGAATTGCCAGGACATGTACAAAACACAGAGAAATAATGTGTCAAAATATGACTCTTCTAATGCCGTGAAGCACTATAACCAAACCAACTCTTTTAACTGAAGGAGTGAACATAGTGACAGAAGGTTAGTTCATTCTCATTGTGAAAGGAAGCATCATAGTTGTGCATGCACGTGGTTGAGTGTTACGTCCTGATACACAGACAGCCAGGCAGAAGGAAACACTTGCCTCGCCCAGGGATTGTGAATCCTCAAAGATGACACACCTATACAAACAAGACACATCTAACCCCACAAGGGCATAGCTCCTAATTTTACACAATTTACTAACTGGGAACCAAGCCTTCAAAGACAGGAGCCTGGGGGTGTTCAACAAATATACACCATTACAGAAATTCAACCTAAGAAGAAAGAGCTCTAAAGGAAAAGAGTGAAAAATTAAGCCAAAGAGAGAGGAAAACACAGAGAGTTACAGAGAGAGAGAGACAGAAGGAAAAATTTTATTTCCTTCAAATGATGAGAGCCAACTCTCCTAGCTGGGTTACAGACATCCTTAACATAACCTTCCCTATCCTATCTAAGAAGAGATTAAACAAGCCTGTATCTTTTCTCTGAGTGTGCAGCTTTATCCCTTGTGTAAGCTTGTATCTTTTCTCTGAGTACACGGCATTATCCCTTGTGTAAGCCTGTATCTTTTCTCTGAGTACATGGCATTATCCTAAGCCTGTATCTTTTCTCTGAGTACATGGCATTATCCCTTGTGTAAGCCTGTATCTTTCCTCTGAGTGCGCAGCTTTATCCCTTGTGTAAGCTTGTATCTTTTCTCTGAGTACACGGCATTATCCCTGTTTGGGTCCCTATCCAGTTCCCTCAGAGAATCTGGGGAACCTCAGGTCAGGTCTGTTGGAAGGAATGGAGGGAGTTGGTCTCTTGTTGGGCATTAAGTGTGACCACTGCATATGACACCGGCTGGAAGCTGCATTTCTAACCGGGTAGATGCGCCACCCAAGGCACAAAGGTTTAAAATTTTATTTCACTGTTTTGGGACTGGGCTTGAGACAAATAACTACTGTATACTGTGCATCCACGGCTACCCTGGAGCAAGCTCTATAGACCAATCTAGCCTCAAACTCAGAGATCTGCATGCCTCTGCCTCTCAAGTGCTAAGACAAAAGGTATGGAATGGCCCTGCTGTCTTAACTATTTTAACACATTAAACCCAAGAGTCTTCAATTCCAGAAAACATAGAGTCACAAATTTTTCTGATCACAGCCTAGACCATACTCAATTGGGATGGCACCATGCAACATCTTGTATTTGGGGACTGCAGAGAAGGGGAGGGACCTGGGGGACAACACTGACTTCCACAGTAACAATTCAAGTGCTGAAACATATGGGTGGACTCATCTGTCTCTGGCTGGGGTCACGCTTCCTTAGCGGTGTGGGGCCTACCTGCCTGTCCTCTCCCATATTTGTGCAAACCTGATTAAAGTGTTCTTTTAAAGGAATTGCTGTAACACTGCACATTTAACCTTGGAGAGGTAGGGATCACACTGAGAATTGTGCCTAATGCAGGATGGGCTCACCACAGTAGGGAGCGGGACTAACATACAGGAGAAAGCAACCACGTGGTTGCCGTCATCTTGGCTATTACACCAATATTATATTATACCAACACAGAATTTGTGCTATAGATACAGCAAAAGGACAATAAAATATCTAACGTTATGTTACCAACAACAGAAATCCCATGAGAAAAGGTCATCATGAATGAAAACACAACAACACATGGCTAAATAAATACTTCACACAGTGACACCTTCTGACTTCTAACTTTGAATGCGAGAGAGAGAGAGAGAGAGAGAGAGAGAGAGAGAGAGAGAGAGAGAGTCAGTCTCTGGGAAAGAATAAAGACATCAAAAGAACATGAGAGCAAACAGAAGAAAAAACAACAAATATAGACAATTTGGGAACATGATGCCAGGAAACCCACGATGTCCGGACTTACTGACACACGTGGCCGAACCACCATGGTATCTATGCGCAAATGCATTAACGTCCGGCACAGAATTAACTGCAGCGGGATCCTACACCTGAATGGTCAGGGCTAAGTGCAGTACCTCCAGAAGGCACTAGGGTGGCCAGAGTGCTCTGTGAGTTATAAAATTGGTCTTTTCCTTGGGAAAAAAACAAACAAACAAAACAACAACAACAAAAAAAACACCTTGCAGCGTGGCAAGGATGTTTTCACTCAAAGGCTCTGCTCCCCATGTCTGCACAGGCTTGTTCTGCAGAGCGAAGTCATTCAGTGGTCCTGTTTCTGCCTGGGAATCTCAGGGACCTCAGGGGAGCAAAGGAAATGATACCGGGCACCGAGCTGCGCTGCCTGTTCCCCCACACAGGCTGCTGCAACTCCTCTCCACAGGGGGTAGACAGCCTCTCACTGACCATGGCGCTGGACTCTCCGCACAGCTCCCGGCAGCCGGTCACAGCACAGAACAGCACACGGATCACGAGAGTCTCCTTCCGTCCCAGAGCGGCTGGAGTTCGTCTGTCTGAAACACGGTGGGCCGGAAGTGCCCGCCCTATTCTGGATGACGTTATGGCTGGAGGCGACGATTGGCTCGTGACACCTGAGTGACAGGGACAGGTCACTTTCAAACAAGGAAGTTGGAAAAGAAAAGAGAAACCAAGACAGGACAGAAAGAAAAAGAAGTTTGCAGTAAAATGAGTAAGAATCACGAGTACAGGGACAGTTTGTTAAATCAGTCCCTTAGTAGGATGCAGCAAGATCTGTCTCTGTGGTATGTATATTGCCTCAGGCCTGTTCAAGTAGTGCTTACAGCATCCAGAATGAAGGCTGAGTCTGTTCTACTACCATTGGTCATTATTGAGCTCCTTTGTGACAAAACTAGACTTTGTACTGAGGACCCTGTAACAGGAGGATCACTGTGAGTTTAGGCAAGGCTGCCTCGAAGTGAGACCCTATTACAACAACAACAAAAATAGCAAAGCATTGCAACCACTGCCACCACAGCTTTGCGACATTTGTGTCTTCGTTCCGGAGTTGACATGGGACTATGGCACCCTGGCGTTTGGCCCCAAGTTCACAGTCTGCTTCTTGACATACCTGCCTGGAATCCGTGGTAGTGCTGAAGCGAGATCCAGGAGCAGGGGCAGTTCCGTGAGGAATGCTTGTCCAGCTGCGTATACCGCTGTGCTCCGCTTCTCTGTGGGGGAATTCTATCCTCTGTCCTCCTTATGGGACTTACTAACACTTGACGGGCATGTTCAGTCTGGCACACTGTATGATTTCTGGAGCACATAATCCGGTTTCCCACACCCCTTTGAACCTAACAGAACTGAAGCTGGACTCTGGCAATAAAAACCTTGTCAGTTAGCTTTTTTTAAAATGGAGAGAGAGAAGTTTCTACTGCACACATCTTGGCAGGGCAGGCAGAGTGAACCCCTGGTCCTTTAGGTTTTCAGGCCAGCCGTGTGCACTTGGGACTTGTCCTCAAACAACATCTGACTGGAACCCAGAGCTCTCAGGCTGGGCGCTGCCTGTCACCGCTTCCTGCCCAGGGCCCAGCAGAGCCAGAAGGCAACCACCGCTGCAGCGTGAGCTAGCCCAGGTAGCCCAGAACTTAGATTTGCTTCTTGAATGTTTGTTGACTTTTGTTTAAATGTTTTTATTGTTTTTCTCTCATTGAGAGGAATGGATTTTTATTTTTCCCCTAGTAGTAGGAATAACTCAGTATCAATGGTCCCTTTTTGGGAGAAAAAGGAAAACAAACCCAACTTCTAGCAGAAGTTGTTCTAACAGAACAAGAACAACCAAGGCTAAAGTACTAAGCCAACGCTGTTCAGATTTCCAGAGGTGTCCGTCATTCATTATATGGATGATGTTCCCTTCTCCTGATCTAATGCTAAAACAAATGCTTGATTTTCACAGCAACTAAACTAACAGAGCAAAATTGGTCATTTTGAACTGTATAATTCGGTGTCCCTGAATTTAAAATTCTAAAAAGGGGGAGAACAGGAATCTGTGTGTTAAACTACACCCTTAAATGTGGTTGTTTAAACTAGGAGTTTCAATCAAAGAATGTAGAGCAAGGGAAGGAATTTAGAAGCCTCCTAGGGAATGCCTGGTCGGTTTTTCCGGCCACACCTCCCCACCTCCAGTCAACTCTTATCTGCCTTTTCCCTGAAAAGATTCAAGGTCAGAGAACTACCTTTGTTTTGTGTGTGTGTGTGTGTGTGTGTGTGTGTGTGTGTGTGTGTAGTGGAAAACTTAGTAGAAGGCTGAAATAAAGAAACTGATGCAAAAAAGTACATAGTGGAGAATTCTTTTTGTCCTCTGATCTAAGTCCTCGCTTGTTGTAAGTCTCCTTCTGAACCCTGAGGGGACACTGAGGCTGGCACTCAGAGGTCCCCATAGTATATTTTCCTAAGAGGGACAAGACAAACAGCCTTTATTGGTCTTAAACTTCTCATTGAAAAGAGGCAACCTTGGCCTGTAGTGCAGGGGGAAACATGATCAGGCAGGACCAGAGGTGTGATATAAGCAAGGGACTGTGGGACAGCACGCTTGTGTGGGTGGGATGGCTGAGTTATGCAGTCTTGTGACAATATAGCAAAACTGGCGGCCACAGCTTACAAGGGACATGTGTGCCCCAATAAAATTTCAAACACTGAACAGAGAAATCTGGGGATAATTGCTATGGCTGGAGAAGTTACCCTCTCCCTCCCATGCTGATGGATGGGTTCCCAAGGTCTGACCTGGGGTCTGTGGGCCTTGACTCCTGGGCCAAGGCAGCGAGTCACAGTCACTGGCTATTGGTAAGAGTTTTATGTACGTTGGTAAAAAGTGAGAAAGACTTTGGTATGTTGTCTGGAAAGCGAGGGAGAAAGCAGGTGACTGAAAGAATGAAGAGAGGAAACATGGATTAGAGGAATACAAAAGTTATAGAAGGTCAGAGGGGATGTGAACTATGTTTGCTGTGGATTCTCATACCTGCAAATACTGAATATGTTTGTTTTTGTTGAAAAGTTTGTCTATGTAAGTTTTCTTGCAAGCATGGAGCTGAGACAGAGATGGTTTGGATATTATTGCTGTCTCTGAGATGAGTAACCATCCATCTGAGCTCTGGTTACTGGATTTGGGTTAGTAGAAATTCTGATGACTTTTTGATGTAGATAATGTTAAGGTTGATGTAACAGCTTTATGCTGTTCTTTATTGAGAAGCTGGCTCTAGAGTTGGATTATGGTTCTTCCTTCACTAGACCCATGCTTAGCTCTTCCTTCACTAGACCCATGCTTATTTAAAAGTTTTCCCTGTCACTCTGCCAGTCTGAGCCCCTGACACAATGACAACAAGAAGAAAGCAAAGCAGAAGAGTAAAAAAAAAATTTGGTCTTTGTTTATGTGAACACTCTGTAGCTTCAGATTTATAAGTTTATTTTGTTAAATATGGTCAAAATCTGCTAAAATTATAATAAAACTAGTTAAAAGTTAATTAGTAACACTGGGAATTGATAACTTAAAATTTATGCATGAGTAATTATAAAGAAACCATTAGGCATGTTTCCCTCTTGGATTTTGGATTGTCATTGTGCTAGACTTAAAAAAAAATGGATGCCACGTGATTTCAGCACCATCTTGATTAAAGGTGGTCTAACTAGGAGGCGACAACAGATCTCTAAGACAGTTTGGACTGGGAAAGATTTTTTTATGATGACTCATGTCCCATTCAGAAAACAAAGTTTAAAATATATATATATATATATATATATAGGATTAAAAATATTAAAGCTGCACCTCAATGTTTTTATATCAAAAATGTACCTTGCTCTGCCTGCTGAACTTTGTTAATTTTAAAGTCACCCAGGTGATAATGGTTATAAAGACATAAAGGAATCATAGGAAACAGTTGAGGCTTACAAATGAATGGCAGGACTAAAGTCCCAAAAATTGTGCAGTTGCAACAATGGACCTTAGCAGTTTTAGAAACACCAGTTCCAAGTGGTAGTCACCAGAAGCACCAGCTACGGTGAAATAGAGCAGGCTGAGATCTAAACGGCAGGCTATCTATATGTTGTCGAGTGTGGGACCAAAGAAGTACTTTATTTTTTATATTGCAAGAATACATTTAAGAGATTTTAATTTTTTAAAGAACAGTTAAGACTATGGGACATTTGTGCTTATAAAATGTTTTATATTGTTAATATTTGGAATTAAAATAAAAAGCTAAAAATTAGGGTCTCATCCATAGTACAAAATGCTAACCAGAAACTGGATGTCCATTTCTTGTAATGCAGAAGATAAGGACCTAAGCAGTTTGATAGAGGGCTTGGGCCAGTGTCCAAGCCTATGGGTCTCAATCCTTTGGGGGCTTATACAGGGGTAGGCTAGACATTTGAATTCACAACATAGACCAAACTGCAATTGTGAAATAACAATGGGAAAATTTTGTAATGGGGGATCATCACAACATGGGAAACTATATTAAAAGGTCAAAGCATTAAAAATATTAACTAATGGCTTAAAAAAATACATCTTCTTGCTCAAGGTCTATTCAGACATAAAAATGTATAACCTCCTTGTCTTTGCTAACTTTGTTGGGCTTAAGCTATTTGGATAAATTGAGTGATATAAATTTTTGTATTGATACTAAAAGGAACTTCAATTGAAAAGCTATTGTTTGTAAGGCTCACACTTTTTTTTTTTAAGACAGGGTTTCTCGGTAGCTTTGAAGCCTGTCCTGGAACTAGCTCTTATATACCAAGCTGGCCTCGAACTCACAAAGATCGGTCGGCCTCTGCCTCCTGAGAGCTGGGATTAAAGGCCTGGGCCACCACTGCCCAGCGGTGAGGCCCACACTGTGAGGTAAAACTAGAAGTCCTTTTCCCAAGGTCAGGCATCAGGATAAAGCTCCTAGTCCCTGAGGTTGCTTGGAGAAAGCTCAGCCCCTGAGAAGGGTGTCGCCCTCCTTATCTCTGGCATAAGGAACTTGTAGTCCTTCCCTAACATTCCTTCACAGTCCCTGCAATGCCTAAGAATTTGCCAAGGGCACTGCTGACCCCTAGGCTCCCTCCTGTTCCCTTTTCACTCTGGGACCTTTTCCTTGCCTTTGCAGGAGACAGCGTTAACAGCTGGACACAAACTTGTTCTGTATTTACCCTCCGAAGGACAAATTTAGTGTCTTTATTAGTTTCAATTCAAACTCATTATTTTTAAAGGCTAAACCTGACAGAATGTAAAATTTTCATCTTATGGAAACTGATAACTTAGTATAGACGGTTAAGAAATACAAGTTAGTCAGTCATCCTTAAAGTACTGATGTAATTAATTACAGGGATCAGGCTTATCTAGTCCACTGTACATGTTTTTAAAGTCAAATTTAAAACAAGTAACTAGAAACAAGTTTGTGTAATCAGATATATCTAGGCAGCCCTCATACTTGAGTGATCTGCAGAATGTGGCATTTAAAATAATGGTTAAAAAGCTTATTATATTAGACAGAGACTCCGAGATTCTAGCAGTGAACCAAGGTCTCCAAAGAAG